TATTGACGCCTAAGAAGGCTATGGGCTTCCTACATGTTCATGTTGTTGCCTAAGAGGGCTATGAGTCGTCTATAAGCTATGTTGATGCCTAAGAGAGCTATGTGCTGCCTACGGGGATATATTAATGCCTAAGAGGGCTATGTGACTGCCTATGGGGCTAGGGGACTACCTATAGGGGTATATAGGCTGATTGGCATCTTTCGGGATTATGGGTGCCTGAGCAGGTGGTCTTATCTGCTGTTTGTACCTGCCAAGCTTATAAGGGCTTGGTTAGGTTGTTTTTTGATTATTTTTTATAAGTTTAGATTTAGGAGCAGGTCAGTACACTTATCTTATCCTTGATTTATTTATTCAGATTATTCCAATATATCAGGATACCTCCTCATAGTCTATTGCCTTTCATACTCTGTAAATTATTTTGTACTGACGCCCCATTGCCTTGGGGCGCTGCATTTATGCATGCAGGTCCTGACAGACGATCGAGTAGACCTCCTCAGCAGCAAGATTGACTTTTATCCGATTGGCTAGCTCCTTTCCTCCGAAACTGCCAGAGTTGGGAGGTTTGTTAACTTTTGTTGTATATATCTTTATGGGTAGGCTGGGGCCCTGTCCCGCTAATCTTTACTACTCTTAGAGGCTTGCAGACTAGTGTGTGGGTGTATAGCTACGTTATGGCCATACTGGCCTATGTTGTTGGTTTCCTACAGCTTGTGAGTTGTTTGATGTATTGTATTGATATAGACCTGCTTTTAGTTTTGGTATAGATATCATGGTGACCTGGACGGTCCAATCAGGACTTCTGTGCTAGTTGGATATTTATTTATATAATCTCCTGGGAGTAGCTGTTTCTTTTATAGATCAGTTGACAGGGGACTTGTAGGCCGAGGGCTTAGTTTTAAGCCAAGATATACTTGTTTGTTTTCTTAATTACATGTGGCTGCCATGCGCTAGTAGCAAGGGTCGGCTCGGGCCTGAGTTTTGGCATTAGGAGCCACTTACACTCCTCGAGTTTGGGGCGTGACATTTTCAAAATTAATTAATTCGATATTTTGAATAAAAAATTAAGATATTCAAAACTATAAGAAAAGTACTATAAATTGCAAAAAAATTTCATATCAATATGATAAAAAAATATATCTTAAAATATTTGTCAAAGTTTATATAGTTGACTCTAAAAAGAAAATTTTGACAATTAAAAGTGGACGCAAGGAGTATTATAATTTAGACTAATCAGTGACTCGATTAGTTGCCACCACTGATTAGTTGCCGGTGGAAAGACTTCCAACTCTTCTTTACGAAAAAAAGAAGGTAAATGAATAGTATTTTTTTTATTTATAAAAGTACACATATATAAAAGATTTTGAAAGTAAAGTGATAAGGATAAATATATGCTTTTATCATTTTAAAATTCATGTACAACTAATATCATCATAACTTATTCTATATTCTACCCAATATAACATTATACATAAATTTCTTCATAAGTTATTTGAATATTAATTATAAAGAATTACTAAAACACAATCAAACATTATATAAAATTAATACATATATATCTTTCATACAACATTTAAAAGTACTAATTAAATACTCCCTCCATCCATTTTTATTTCTCATGGTTTCCTTTTCTAGAGTCAAACTATAAAAACTTTGATTAACATTTTACGATGCATTTTTTCATCGTATTGATATGTAAAAAATTACAACTTATAGTACTTTTCATCTAGATTTTGAATATATCTAATTTTTTATTTAAAATATCGAATCAGTTTAATTTAATTTAACTTTAAAAATAAGTTAAATTGACTTTTGAGAGATATAACATGACAATTAAAAATAAACGAAAAAAAATATATAAAATTAATACATGAACAATGAAGTTATATAGGGAGTAGGGACGGAAAATAGCACGTGGACAGACGTGCAAAATTAAAATCGGGCCAATTGCCATCCCAATATGTATGTATAGCTGTAAAAGATCACTCTTAATTTTATCAGAGAAAAGACATAAAGTCATCACTTGAAGTTATCTCGGATTTTTAAAAAGATATCTTAATTTTACAATCGTTTTATTACCTCCCTAAACAATTTTGAATAAATATTATTATATCATTTTTCATTAAAAAAATCATAGATTATTTTTATGCATTGTTTGGTTTGCATTGCATTAAAAAAAATTATTTACAAAGATACCTTTCACTATTATGATGGAAAAGATATAAAAAAGATATTGAGGGTCAATTGAGTCTTTAATTGAGTTAATGCATGCATTAAAACTATTGCATTGCTAATACCTAGAAATCCATGGTATTAGCAATACACACATTAATACACAATAGAGTGTATAACTAATGAGGTACTAATAATACACAAAGTTAATGTACGCATTATTTTTTTAATATACTCTACCAAACGACCCACTTCACTCTCAATTATATTATCGACGTGATATGTGAATAGTGACATTGCCTTTTCCAAATGCTAAACGCCTTATAATATAACACTGATAGCGACCACTCATTGCCCTCTCACTAATCACTATCATGTAAACATATATAATTTGATTGATATTTGTCTCAATTTATATGATATAATTTAATTCGACATATATAAAAAAGTGGAATAATAATAAATCAAAGTGTCAAATAAAATTTAAGAAATACATGTATTTGGTCTTATTTAATTTATATGATCACTTAATAGTTGAAAGTGATATGACAAAATTATTTTTCTTTAATTTATTACATATGATCACTTAATAGTTGAAAGTGATATGACAAAATTATTTTTCTTTAATTTATTACAAAATAGAAAAAAATTGTTAGAAGTTCAAGATCAATAATTGATTACTTACTACTCCTAATACCTGCGGCCTCTATAAATAGAACGAGACAGCTGAAGAATATATGAGCATAGAACATCATATTTACCTACAATATAGTTTGAGTTTGTGTTTTTTTAGAATAACTAAAAAAAAATATCGATGGATTTGATATTGTCATCGAAAAAAGCCGATAAAACTATAGTGGAAGTTGAAGGAGTTGGTGGATACTACACATGGTCAAGTAGCCAATTTCCTGTTCTTAGCCAGAAAAAAATTGCTGGTGGATTGTTAGTTCTTCAGCCTCGTGGCTTTGCTTTACCTCACTATGCTGATTCCTCTAAAATTGGTTATGTTTGTGAAGGTACGTAGGACATACATATATATGCAGATCTAGAACATGTCAGGTAGAAAGTTCTTTTTAAAACGACTAAGAAAACGTATAAGACAGAGTAATATTACTTATATTTCATTTTCACAGGTGAATGCATTGCTGGACTGATCTCACCAGAAGATTCGAAAGAAGAAGTTATAAAAATTCAAAAAGGGGATGCCCTACCAATTACTGTGGGAACAGTGTCATGGTGGTACAATGCTGGTGACACTAAACTCAAAATAATTTTCTTGGGAGAATCATCTGAGGACTATACACCTGGAGAATTCTGTTATTTCTTTTTAACTAGTGCCGCTGGTATACTAAATGGATTTTCTAATGAATTAATTGCCAAAACTTTTCACATGACCCAAACTGAATCTGAAAAACTTGTGAAAGATCAAAGTGGTTTAAATATTATAATTAAGGTAAATGAAGGTATACAAATTCCAAACGGATCCAGCAGTGCGAAACGCAAGTTTGTTTACAACTTGGATGGTGCAAAACCTTGTGTTGAGGTTAAAAATGGTGGACATTTATCTTCGTTAAGTATTAAGAATATACCGTTGCTTGGAGAGATTGGATTAAGCGCGAATCGCGTAGTTTTGGAATGTGGTGCTGTACTTGGTCCGATTTATACACCTGATTCGTTTATTCATTTGAGTTATATTACGAAAGGGAGTGGACGTGTTGTAATTGTGGGACTGTTTGGTAAGGTTGTGTTGGACACTAAAGTGGAGGAAGGTGACTTGTTTTATGTACCAAAATTCTTTCCGTTTGTTGTGGAAGCTGATGAAGGAGGAATTGAGTTCTTCTCCATGAAAACATCGTCAAAGTAAGTACTCCTATCATGTAACAAAGATGGATAACAAGGACGTTAAATAGTTCACCTAAAGTATAGTATAGTATGTACTAATTACAATGTTTTACGATATATATATTTGCAGGGAAGTATATGGAGAATTATCAGGTGGAAAAAAATCAGTTTGGGAAGCAGCATCTCCATCAATTTTAGAGGCCTCTCTGAATATGACTCCGGATTTGACAAAGTCTTTCAAGTCCAAGATTGCTAAGGGTGCCGTCATTGCCCCACCTTCAAATGTTTAAGTAACATTTGAGTATAATAATTATAATAATCTAATAAGTAATTGTATGCTTGAAATAAGACCGATCGATGATCGATATGTGTGTAAAAGATTATTATATGGGAGCTTTTGACGTTTTAGCTTTTCCTTAATGCAAGCTTATATGCTAGCTGTTGTGTTTCAATATATATATATATATATATATATATATATATGTATGTGTTTTTAATTAAGAATAAAAAGAAAATGAATTTAGTACTTGTAATTTGTATGTCCAATTGTGAGTTCATGTTTACATATCTTATTACTATTAAATAAATATGCCGGTCTGTAAACCATTCTTTGAGGATGCTCTGAGGCATTATAAATATTGTACCTCAAAAACTATGAATGGAAATAAGACTGCATTTGTCACTTGCAATTGACCTGCATAAGACGGCTGCTTAGACTAGCAAACGTAACATTAATTTTCTGTTAAAATTAGGCATTTACCTACTTTTTAGAAAAATAAAAGGAAATATTCAAGATCTTCATCGTTATACCCTCAAAGGAATTGCTTGAATTTTTCCTTATATATATATGAACAATATCTCTTTAAGAAAAGTGATTCTTCACGCCTCAAAACCATCAATTCTTCTTCAATTATTATGCTTACCAATCATTGAATTAACACAAATATTGTATAAAATTAATAAATGAATAACTTTTATTCTTTTCAAAAATCAAACAAATAACAAAATTAATGCAAATTATTCATGTATTAGGCCGAGCATTATACATCAACAAAATGGGTCCTAAAAAAATAGGAAAAGTTTATTTTTATATATAAAAGGAACACTTAAATAGGATGGAGTATGATGGGACGGAAAAGAGCACGTGCATGGGCGCAACGTGCTAAAATAAAATCGGACCACAATGGCCACCATCCCAACATGGCAACATGTATAGCTGTAATTTTTTTTAAAAAAAATTAGCGTAGGGAAGGGAAAATGAAGAGGGAATTATAATGTAGGGAATCAAATTCTCACTAATAAGGTGGACAGTAGCGGATCAAAAATTTTCATTAAGGGGTATCAATAGTTATAGTAAAAAAATATAATCATGAGACTAGTAGGACTAGAACAAACAATCTCAAGAAATTACAACACTACCTTAACAATATACATGTTTATTAAATTAGAATTTGACCTCTGTATACAAGGTAATTTTCAGATGAAGGGTGTCGCTTGACACCTCTTGAGTAAAGGTGGATCCGCTCTAGAAGATGGGAGTTCAGATAATCAATCAATTGAGCTATTAAAATTTTCTTTGAAGAGCAATCTCAAATCTGAAAACTAACTCACGTGTGGCCTTTCCCTAGTTAGTTTTGTTTTGCTATCAGTATCTGTCATTTTTAGCTTCTATCTTATTATCTCTTTCCTGCCCATCACTTCAAAAGTTTGTTCATTTTTGCTTCATTTAGGTTTTTTCTACTCGATCTTCCAAACAATCTATTGCTATCCACACATTCATAGTTGAAAATTATAGATGATTGTTACACGGAACTGTATATTATAAATAACAGTATGCAAAAATAAAAAGAGTATGAATTAATATATATAAAAAAAGAGTAAGTATCAGTAGTCGTTTCTTGTTAAATTATCATATATGATGGGCAATATTTAAATATTTTATTTTTATTTTTATATACTAGTACTTAAAATTTACTATGTGCATGAAGATGAATATCATAAATATTTTAATATTTATTTTATACATGATTATATAATTTTTTAATATGCTTGTTATGGAGGACAATATGATAAAGATAGTACTGCTATAAGTATAAATAATTTAGAGGTTATAAGTAAAATGTTAAAGTATTATAAAGAAAACCAACAATTTTTTTTTCTTTTGGAACCTAGGCAATCCACCACCTGTGTTAGAGCATTCAGTGGTGAGCATTTGTAAACACTTTGTTATTATCACAAATCATACAAAAGATGTAAACGGTATATTAATCAAGCCCAATATAACGAGCTCATGACTGAATAACGTACACATGGAGACTAGATTCGGGAGAGCCACCTCCCAACCATTCAACCATGTCCTTGCGGGCGAACTCATGAACTACTTTAACAGACTAATTGTTTAGAAGTCCAAGATCATTAATTAATTATTAATCCTATTAAGTTTGTGACAGACTCTTCAGAGTGTGTGAGTCTACAACATTACATTGAAAAGTGGAGGTGTTGTAATTGTGGGACTTTCTGGTAAGGTTGTGTTGGATACTAAAGTAGAAGAATTAAGGAGAACTGTTTTTTTTTACCAAAATTCAAGATTGCTAACGGTTCAGTGATTTCCCCACCTTCAACTGCTTAAGTAATTACTACTTGTTAGACATATGAGTTTAGCAAGTGTATAATATGTAATTCTAAGCTTGAAAATAAGACCGATCGATGATGAAGTGTCTCTATGTGTGTGGAAACTTTGCTCTAGCTTTTCCTGAATGCTTGCTTATATGCATGGATATATATAATATAATACTAATGTAAATTAGTGTGTACTGATCGATCTTTGAGGCATATTTTACATTTTTAAGATAACCTTATTAATTCTATGTTGGATATGTACAATAATGTATGTGTTATTTATGTGTCAAATATGGATGTTATTGGTTATGAAATGAATGTATATATGGTGTATATTTACTGTAGTGATTGTGTGGCTTATATATCACTGAACTTACAGTGATATATGTTGGGTTATGAAGGGTGATTAGGGCGTCATACGGAAGCTTACAATTGCAATCAAGACGGTAATAAATTAGATGACAAATAAAGCGATACTAAAACATAATATTATTAATATGAAAACTAATTTAAAAGAAAAATATTATAACTGTTGAGAGAATAAATCTCTCCATAAACTAAACTCTTTAAATGTCTACATTGTGGATACTATTGTGTTATGCTATGAGAATAGGGATCTCCAAACATTTCCTCTAAGGAAAGAATAAACCAAATATGAAAGAACATTATATTTTCCTTTTAGAAAAAGTTCAAGCATTTATGGTAATACTTTAACTTTTCTTTAAGGAAAAAATAAACTTCAAATAAGGCAAGAAAATCAGGGCAAAACCCTAACAATATACACACGACATATGTAATATATGCAACGATATTATTTGTATATTGACTGTATCCACCATTCATTTTTGGCAAGTGGATGAGCTTTCAAAAGTATGTTTTGTGGGGTTAGAAATACTTGGTATAAATTTGTTGTCACACCGTGTTTAAAACAGTAAATCAGAATATCTAAGTAAACCGTAAAATAAAAAGTTATAAATAAGAATATCTAAGTGAACTATAAAATAGAAATCTAAGTTATACTTGGTGGAGTTTGAAAGTAAAAAGACTACTGTACTTGAAAGAATTCTAAAATACAGCTATTCCAAATATTTTTTAACAAAATATGGCGCTATCACAGGGAAACAGAAAACAGTGTTAGTATATTTGAATTGAACATATGAATTGGAAATGAACACTTCCTTATTGAATTGATTCTTCGAATTTTCCTTTGTTCAATGATAATGATGTTGAAAATCATTTTGCAACCATTGTACCAAAACTCATTTCCGCCATCTACATACGCACCCATTTTCCAATTCTTGATTGGCAAGAATTTTGTTAAACTTGGCCAACAACTTCATGCTCACATTGCCGTTCGAGGGGTTTTTCCCAATGGATTAGTCGCTGCCAAAATGGTAGCCATGTATGCCAGCTCCGGTGAAATCGACTCTGCCTCACGTATTTTCGATAATGCTACTGAACCCTCTTCGCTTCTGTACAATGCCATGATTCGAGCACTCACCCTTTATGGGATTACCAAAAGAACAATAGAGATTTTCTTCCAAATGCATTCATTAGGCTTCCGTGGTGACAATTTTACCTTTCCCTTTGTTTTCAAGTCATGTGCTGATTTGTGTGATGTTTGGTGCGGGAAGTGTGTTCATAGCTTGGTTTTGAGGTCTGGATTTGTGTTTGATATGTATGTAGGCACTTCTTTGATTGATATGTATGTGAAGTGTGGTGATTTGATTGACGCTCGTAAACTGTTTGATGAAATGCCGGTGAGAGATGTATCGACTTGGAATGTATTGATTGCTGGGTACATGAAGGATAGGTTATTCAAAGATGCTGAGGAATTGTTTGAGGAAATGCCAATTAGGAATATAGTGTCTTGGACAGCTATGATTTCTGGATATGCTCAGAATGGTTTAGCTGATGAGTCGTTGCAGTTGTTCGATAAAATGTTGGATCGTGACTCGGAGGTGAGGCCTAATTGGGTGACGGTTATGAGTGTTTTACCTGCTTGTGCGCACTCGGCTGCACTAGATCGTGGGAGGAAGATTGTCAAAATCAGCACACTAAGATCAAGTTATGCCATGGAATGATCTAAGAGACCATTAGAGAGATGAGAAGCTTTGAAGGAGATATTTTGGGAATGGAATTGAACTGTTTCATTCAACGTGAATTGTCCTATTTATACATCAATGAATTAACATCTAATGCTAACTAACTAACTAAAATGCAGTTTATGAATTAACAGTTAAATTAGTGCTAACTAGCTAACTAACTGACTGTAGCTACAGTAATACTAACAGTAACTGCCTAACTAACTTCAATACTCCCCCTCAAGCTGGAGGCTCAAGAACATTCAACACTCCAAGCTTGCTGAGTAGATACATGTGTTGGATGCTTGTGAGTCCTTTTGTCAGCAAATCAGCTTGTTGTTCCTTTGTGTGTACATAGATAGGCTTAACAGTCCCTTCCTTGATTTTATCTCGAATGAAGTGACAATCGATTTCAATATGTTTCGTTCGTTCATGAAAGATTGGATTTTCAGCTATTTGTATTGCAGACATGTTATCACAGCAAATATTGATAGGTATATCAATTTGTACATCTAGTTCCTCAAATAGTCCTTTCAGCCAAGTTAATTCTGCCACAGCTGCTGCAAGACTTCTATATTCTGCTTCTGCCGAGCTTCTAGATACAGTTTGTTGTTTTTTCGACTTCCAAGAAATAAGGGACTCCCCAAACTTTACTGCATATCCAGTGACTGACCTCCTGGTGTTTGGACAAGCAGCCCAGTCAGAGTCGCACCAACAAGTGAGTTTTTGAGTGTATCCAGCTTGCAACAATATACCTTGTCCAGGTGAATTCTTTAGGTACCTAACAGTCCTCAATGCAGCCTCCCAATGAGACCTTTTTGGTCTTTGCATAAACTGACTCAATGTCTGTACTGGAAAGCTAATGTCAGGCCTTGTAATTGTGACATATAACAGTTTCCCAATCAACTTCTGATAAACACTAGCATCACTCAACAATTCATCTCCTGTAGTGTTAGTGGCTTCATCATACTCTAGTGTTGTAAGTTTTTGATTGTATTCCAAGGGAGTAATGGCTGGTTTGGATCCACTTAATCCCATTTCAGAGATAAGTTCCAGCACATACTTTCTTTGGTTCAGCAACACACCCTTCTCAGATCTCAGAATTTCAATTCCAAGGAAGTACTTCAACTCCCCTAAATCTTTCATCTTGAACTTGTGGTTCAAAACATGCTTTACCTTCTCTATCATGGTATTGTTGCTCCCAGTAATTAACATATCATCAACATATACTAAGACAATAACAATGTCATCTTGTTCCTTCATAGTAAACAGTGAATAGTCATGGTTACTTTGAGAGAAACCTGCATTTACTAAAGCATCTGTTAACTTGATATTCCACTGTCGCGAAGCTTGCTTTAAACCATATAATGACTTCAGCAATTTACACACCCTTGTCTCCCCTTGACTTCTAAAACCTTCTGGCAATTCCATATATACCTCTTCCTCAAGATCACCTTGAAGGAAGGCATTATATACATCCATTTGAAGTAGATTCCATCCTCTAGATGCAGCCAAAGCTATAACAGATCTTACTGTCACCATTTTTGCCACAGGAGAAAATGTATCATGATAGTCTAGGCCTTCCCTTTGGCTATAACCCTTGGCTACTAGCCTTGCCTTGAATCTTTCAACTTCACCATTTGATTTGTACTTGATTTTATAAATCCATTTTGACCCTACAGTGTTCTTTCCTGTTGGCAATGGTACCACCTCCCAAGTTTTGTTATATTCTAAAGCTTGTACCTCATGTTTCATAGCTTCTATCCATCTGGGATCATTAACAGCTTCTTTGAATCTCTGTGGTTCCACCATCTTTGAAAAATTAGCCAAGTAACACTGATACTTAGGAGATGTCTTCTCATAGGAGATATATTGGGCAAGAGGGTAAAGACTGGTACTTCCTTTCTTTTGAGTAGTATAGTCTTTCATCCATATAGGTTCTCTCACTTGTCTATGAGATTTTCTGGTGTATGGTGCTGAGGGTGTAGTTTCAGCTGGTTGCATTAATATGTCTTCTGATAGGCCATCTAATTTTGCATGCTCATTGACTTGTGTACCACCAGTATCAGCAGCTTGTGTATCATCAGCCACAAGCTGTTGGAAGGAAACACCATCTTGAATAACACCATGATTTTCTGGTAATAAATCTTCACCAGACTCATCAGGATTAGAGCATGCATCATTTTGTGCATGTAATAAGTCTTCAGGAACCATATCTGCATGATCAGTTATGATGTTCATCAGGGGAGAATTTTGCACTGCATCCTGCTCCATGTTCATGTGATTATTCTCCACTGTGACCTTAGGTGCCTTCTTGCTGAAAGGAAACACATTCTCTCTGAATTGTACATCTCTGCTGACAAAAAATATGTTAGTGGACAAATCTAACAATATGTAGCCTTTTTGAGTTTCAGAGTAGCCCATGAATACTGATTCCTTGGCCCTATCATGCTTGACCAAGTTTGTAGCATAGCACTGACATCCAAAAACCTTCAAATGATTAATGTGGTTCCTTGTTTTATACAATGCTTCATAAGGTGTGTGACCTTCCAGCACACTTGATGGAAGTCTGTTGATGATATAAACTGCAGCCTTTACACATAATCCCCAGTACTTGATAGGAATATTTGCCTGGAATCTTAAGGCTCTGGCCGTGTCCATAATGTGCCTGTGCTTCCTTTCTACCCTGCCATTCTGTTGTGGTGTGTGAACACAACTACTCTGGTGCACAATGCCATGTTGTGTTAATAAATCATTACATTGAGAGTTGAAGAACTCAGTACCATTGTCAGACCTGATTACTTTAATGTCTGCATTAAACTGATTTTTTATCATAGGCAAAAAAGATTTCAATGCTACAATGACATCAGATTTCAATTGTAGTAAGTACACCCAAGTAAATCTTGTATGATCATCAACAATTGTTAGAAAATAAGACTTCTTATCAAGTGTGACAGTTTTATAAGGTCCCCAAAGATCCAAGTGTACAAGCTGAAAAGCAAAACTACTTTTGGAACTACTAATTGGAAACTTCAATCTAGTTTGTTTGGCCCTTGGGCATACAGAACAATTTTCATGTGTATGGCTACTATAATTGCCTTTCACTATATCTACTTCTTTCATGGTAGACCTAGAAGGATGTCCAAGTCTTAGATGCCATAGATGATAGTCATTCCCTTCTGTTATTTTTATTTCTGCTGCACACTGATGTATTTGACCTTGCCTTATTGATTTTGTTGCTCCTCCTGATCTGAAAATGTATAAACCATGTTGTTCCTTACCAATCCCCCTCACCTTGCCACTAAATAGATCCTGAAACACACAGAAGTCAGGATAAAAAGATACAAAGCATGATAGGTCCTTGGTTAGCCTTGAGACTGACAATAGATTGAATCTAAAAGCAGGCACAAACAAGACATTCTTCACAGTGGACTCATTAAACAGATGAGTATCTCCTATGTGTGTAACATCAGCTTTGTCTCCAGTGGGAAGGTATACTTTATCATGACTGAAATTGTTTACTTCTACAGACCTCATCAAACTTTCTAGGCTAGCTGTGATATGGTGAGTAGCACCAGAATCAACTATCCACTCACTATGTGGAATGTGTGAATGGAAAGAAGTAATGGTACCTGATGAGTTCACAGCTTGCTGTCCTTCATTGGCATCTTTGTTCAGCATGCTCAGGATCTGTTGGTATTGAGATTCAGTGAAATATTGACCTTGTACATCAGCCATATGCTTGGATCCAGAATTGTCATGAGAAGTAGTACCATCAGGAGGTGCACTAGTAGCACCAACACCACATACATTGTTCACATTAGCAAAGGATTGACCACCATTCTTCCCATTAGCAAAGAATTGAGGCTGAGTGGTATGATATTGTCCTCTCGTTTGATGATTTCCATTGAGTCTCCCCTTAGGTTTGTAATCATCGGGATAGCCAATGAGCTTCCAGCATTGCTCCTTACAATGTCCCCTCACATGACAGTATTCACATTTTGGAATAGGTTTCTTACCCCTGTACATCTGATCTCTACTAGCCTGCATGATGGTAGGATCATTGAACCTGTCATGTGCTGTAGCAACTTGAGAACAACTAATTTTCCTTTCACTTTCATCCTCAGATATCATGGCATATGCTTGACTAACAGTAGGTGCAACTGTCTTCATGAGGATTTGCCTTCTAGTTTGATCATAAGAGTCATTCAATCCATTTAAAAACTGTAGTAGCCTTTGCTCTTGAAGATGATCAGCATACTCTTTCGATTTAGGGCAATCACACTTTGGAGTTGAAATCATAGTATTGTATTCATCCCACAATTCCTTAAGTTTTGAATAGTAAACTGATACAGAGTGCGTACCTTGTGCGAGATTAGTGATTTCGCGATGCAATTGAAAAACTCTCACTCGATTTATCTTGTTGAATCGTTCCTCCAGATCCTCCCAAACAGCATTTGCACTGGAGCCATAAACAATTCCATTCAAGAGATTTTTTGAGACCGAGTTCATAATCCACGAATGAACAATCGCATCGCACTTCTCCCAAGCATCAGACTGAGTCTCGCTGAACTTCTCCCTCCTGTAATTTCCATTAACAAAGCCCAATTTACCTTTTCCAAGGAGAGCAATCTTCATAGATCTGCTCCAAAGGCCGTAATTCTCAGTTCCAGTCAACTGGATAGGAATCAACATGGATCCAGGAGTGTCTGATGGTTGTAGAAACAGAGGGTGCTTGTGATCGATTTGTTCTTCGACATTCCCCATCGCAGCTTCAAATGAACAGAGAAGAAGGATCAAATTGTATTGCGGAAGCGAATTAAGATCAGATCTGGATCATCTGCTCTGATACCATGTCAAAATCAGCACACTAAGATCAAGTTATGCCATGGAATGATCTAAGAGACCATTAGAGAGATGAGAAGCTTTGAAGGAGATATTTTGGGAATGGAATTGAACTGTTTCATTCAACGTGAATTGTCCTATTTATACATCAATGAATTAACATCTAATGCTAACTAACTAACTAAAATGCAGTTTATGAATTAACAGTTAAATTAGTGCTAACTAGCTAACTAACTGACTGTAGCTACAGTAATACTAACAGTAACTGCCTAACTAACTTCAATAAAGATACATAGTTTCGCTAGAGAGACGGGATTGGAGAAGAATCCTTCGGTGCAGACAGCTCTTATAGCCATGTATGCTAAATGTGGAAGCTTAGTTGATGCTCGTTTGTGTTTCGATCAGATAGACCCAAGGGAGAAGAAATTGGTTGCTTGGAATACAATGATTACTGCTTACGCATCCCATGGTTGTGGACGGGAAGCTGTTGCAACGTTTGAGGATATGTTACGAGCTGGTATACAGCCTGATAAAATCACATTTACAGGTTTGTTATCAGGTTGTAGCCACTCAGGTCTTGTGGATGTTGGACTGAGATATTTCGATTGTGTGAGTTCGGTTTACTTTGTGGAGAAGGGACATGACCATTATGCTTGTGTGGTTGATCTTCTTGGTCGTGCTGGACGATTAGTGGAAGCATATAACCTCATTTCTCAAATGCCAATGGCAGCAGGACCAAGCATTTGGGGTTCCTTATTAGCAGCTGGTCGAAGCCATCGCAACTTAGAAATTGCAGAATTAGCAGCTAAAAAGTTATTTATCTTGGAACCAGACAACAGTGGGAATTATGTTGTGCTCTCTAATATGTATGCAGAAGCTGGAATGTGGGAGGAGGTGAATCACTTAAGGATCCAACTGAAATCACAACGTATTATGAAGAGTCCTGGATGTAGTTAGATTGAATTTGACGGGGAGGCCCATTTGTTCCTTGGAGGAGATACATCTCATCCACAGGCAGAGCAAATATACATGTTTCTGGAGGCACTGCCCGCCAAGATAAAAGCAGCTGGTTACATGCCAGATACTACTTTCGCTTTGCATGATGTGAGTGAAGAGGAGAAAGAGCAAAACCTAAGTAGTCATAGTGAGAGGTTGGCAATTGCCTTTGGCATTCTTAATACAAGCCCGGGTACAGTTATCCGAGTGACAAAGAACCTTAGAATCTGTGGGGACTGTCATACTGCTATAAAACTTATCTCTAAGATATATGAAAGAGAGATCATTGTAAGGGATGTGAATCGGTTTCATCATTTCAAAGATGGTTCTTGTTCCTGCAGAGACTACTGGTGACTAAAAATGAAGATGTTAATACCTCTAATTTAAACTCAGATGAGAATTTTTGTAGTCGTTATGCATAACCATCTCGGAGACTACCAACTGTAATATCAGTCGTGTTCACTGTCCACACTTTTTGAGGAAATTATTAAGCTCCAGTGGCATTGAATGTTCATTTGTACTCAAGCTATTTGCTCATTGAACTATCACCCGATTGGTGAATGACAAGCCTCAAAATGATGGAAGTTTCCTGAATGTTGAGGGTGAAGTATCCTTCTTGGAGGGATGTTGTAAAGACTTTGTAATAATCAACTTTTGAAGAAGCCAGTTAATATCTCACAACGTGACTGGGAACCGTTGTTGTTGAGACACCAAAATTGGGAACTTGTTTTGAGGATGTCATTCACCGTTACATGGATGCTCAACACAACAATAAATCAGTAGTCCTGGTATGGCCTTGGGGTATAGTAATGCTCTTGGTTACCTCGAAACATAGAGAAGATGAATGTTCCAGAGTCAATTTGTCGACCAAGATAGAGAGAGTATTGTACATTAAATTCAACAACTCGTCAAAGTGAAAATGATTGAAGAGTGGAATATCCATCAAGTTACGCGAAATATGAGAATATAGGTCATTGGAATTGGATTATGTTTAAGGCTCTTACTTTGGACTATCATTTATAATAGAGGTTGTTCCCTTGACATATTCATCAATTGTACATGACTGTTTTCCTGGTAAGAAGACCCTGTTTGTCATTGAAAAAACGGACTAGGAAAAAGAATTGCTCCTTTTAGTTATAGCTGTATAAGCTAGCTAGCCTAGTGGAAAAAAAAAAGTTTTGTGGGGTGAGAGAGGCTCCAACTCTCGACCTCAGGATTACTCAGAAGCTATGAGACCTACGCGCTAGCCAACTGCGCCACCACCCCGTTGTTGTTCTGCAACAGTAATCAACATTCTTATACATAACAAAAACATTCTTAAATAACTAAATCAAGAAAAAATATACATCAATTATTCATAGTAATGTGATGCGTGTGTATATATATTCTCAACATGTGGCATTATTTCTTTGGCTTGGTGTATACATATACTCTCTCCGTTCCTTTTTATATGTCACATTTTTAAATTGTACTTGCATTAAGAAATTAAGTAATTTTACCCTTATACCCTTATTTAATGTTTTCTTAAGTCACGTTTTCAATAAATGATGAACATGCTAGATTTCAAAAATTAAAATGCATTTGAATGACTATTTAAATTTTGAGTTTATTTTTGGAGCCAATTTTTTTCACCAATTGATCTAAAATTTTAAAAAAATTGTTAAAGCTTCAACTTTCAAGATTATTTTTTATTTTTTCTCCATCTTTTATTTTTAATTTGTTTGTTGAAATTTCTTTTCAAAGTAAAATTTTATAGAATAGTGAATGGAGAGAGTAATTAATCAATGTATAAAGTACTTCAATGAATATTAATTATTTATTAGTTTTTCTAGGTTGGTTAAAATATATATTTTCAAGATTAATTAACTACTCTATGAAGGGTATAATAGGAATAATATGGTAATTTATGCATTGATTTTATGAAATGACAAGTATTATAGACCAATTATTTATAGAAAGGAATGACATATAAAAAAAACAGATAGGAGTACATTCAAAGACCCAAAGTTGCGCAATATTCATGGAACCTTTTTTTTTTATTTTTTTATTTAAGTACCCAAAGACAACACAATCCCAGACCGATAAGGTTCTTAAAAGTATCAATTTCTGATAATAATTCACATGTGTTCTTTTGCCTCCCTCGCGATTTGATGGCTTTGCAGCAATCTGACAATTGCATGTTCAGCTCAAGTAATGTAAAGTTGGATTAGCAATATACAAGCACCACTGATACAGTACAAACAAGGCTCACCCCTCCACACATAATCAACATGCCACAATTTCTTTTATATATTAACACGTGATTTTTATACATTGTTCTTTCTGATGTACGGACAAGGTACCAGAGTAGTTGTTTTCCGACACTTGATTTAGCCTTTTTCCCCCCTGTTTATAGTTAAGCTAAAAGAGTTTTTGTGTCAATGAAATGACAACAAGTTCCCTCTCCTCCTCAATGGGATTCCTCAACTGCGACACCCGAATAAGTACAAGTGAGACTATCCACTGCTGCTCCATTTTCTTTTGTTTTACTCCAAGATATTCTCCAACTTTGAAATAAACTGATCCTGTAGGAGAGTGAAATGGAATCATGAATGGCAAGCTGAAAGTAGAGATTCAGAGAGAGAAAGAAAGATGCATGCAACTGTACCTATTTGTTTCAATGTCCCTTTTCGCAAGCATTAATGTCAAGAAGACAGGCACCATTGCAGCACATAAATGTTTGACTGTGTGGCCACTTACAATATGATAAGTCCAGTTGTAGATTCGCTTATCAGCTGCTTCTTCAATCTTCGCTAAAAGATAAAATCCTGCATTATGCAGAAAAATGTCATTTTACATGCTGTAGGAATGAGGTCACAGAACCAAGAGGACAAAATAAATCAAACCTGCAGCCCACAGCCAATAAGTGGAATGTGTGTACATCGGAGGTAGCAAAATAGCCATGAGTGGGATGGCTAGGCACGGTATAAATTGCACTGCCGCATAAGGACGGAGATCATCAAAGAACCTTCAGAATGAAAATGTACAATCACACAACAGTTTAAGCTGAAAAAAATAAATGATCTCAAGTAAAAAGCTCCAGTTATTTACTACACAGATCTACACCATCCACTCCCCTCTAGCACACTTAGAAAATGAAAATGCAAGAAAAAGCAAAATCACATCCGATATATCATAATTTTGGATAAATAAAAACCGGAACTCAATTCAATAATCTTCCTAATCCTAGCTCCGATGGTTCTTCCAAGCTGAAACTCAAGGAGGATAGCTGGTTCCTAGTGAAGACACCTCTTAGCCCTATAATCTTACAATCTGTAAGGACAACATGATTGCAGAGATTAGCTCAGTTTTTTTGGAAAGCTGACACAGGCGAAGGAGTTGAACAGAGGAGTAGATTCTCCCTTATGGAAAGTGGAAAAAAACCCAGGTAAATTCTCAGTAAAGGAATGCTATAATGTTCTGACCAACACAGTAACAAGGGAACTTGGAAAAAAATCTGGAAAGGGAAACCTCAGAAAGTAGCTTGTTTTCTTGGATAATCACATATGATGCACTGTCTTATACTACCCTAATACACCTATTGAAAAGGGTACTTAAATATTTTTGAGAAAGAAAAGGGGACTTCAATATGTGCAGTAGATATAACTTATGCAAAACCAGTGATGAGAACTTTAAGCATATTCGCATTGTTCTTTCAAGTGGCAGTTTTGGTGTTTGTTTCTGAACCTTTTTGGTCATGGTGGGTAATGACTAAGGATGTTAGGCACTCCGGTAAGTATGGACAGAATATAAAGAAACCATTGAAATCAACATGGACGATGGTACGTCGGTACCCTTATGCACTCTATGGATCATCTGGAAAGGAAATACAAGTGTTTTGAAGGAAGATCTGAAGCTAAACAAAATGTCAATATAGAGGCTTACAAATTTTGGTATTTGGTTTAAATGCAAAGGATATATGATTTTGACAGTCTGATGAACTTCAGAACGCCTAACATACTCGGTAGTCTACTATTATGTAATTTTGTAATATACCCACTTGGTGTTGCATTTTTGAGCAATGTAATTGTCTAAATTATCTAAAGAAAGAACGAAAAGAAGGAACATGGAAGGAGAGGACCCTCAGGGAATATTATATATCCAAGGATACACTCTGCAGTTCTTCAACTGTTTCTTTTTTCTTTAAAAAGTGACTTTTTTGGGGTGGGAGGTGGGGGAGGGAGGAATTTATTAGCCATTGTTGAAATAAGATGCTTACCTCCAATACATAATACTTACTACACCAGCAAGAATCAATGGAATGAGAGACACAGTTCCCTTTCTCTCATCTATTCTTTCAATAATAAAGATACCAATGATAGACGTAAATGCAACAGTCATCTACAACAGTAAGAGACGAGGTGTCAAAAATAGGCACACAGAAAAAACTTCAATAAATAACAGTTTGCTCCTAGCATTTAGTACTTAGATAACCTACTGGCAATCTGTCCCACACAAGACGAGCATCATTTGGCTTGAGATGATAGTATGCAGACCCAAAAGCAACAGCTGCCACACCAATATAGAAGCACGTCCAACCCCAAAGCTCTCCTTGCAAGCTTTCGATGCACATGTCAAATGGAATAAGCTTTAAGTACTGGACAAATATACTAGAATACAGAATCACAAAGTCAAAGCCTTAACCATCATCAAACCAGATATATCTCAACAATTTACCTCAATTTGAAATAGTTACCATGATGGCAAAGTACAAGACCTATCAGACCGATCACAAGAAAAGGGAAATTTGAGACCACATTCAGTGCATTGGGAATCCCTACATAAGAAAACAAAGGCATGAAAAATTCAGCAGCAAATTCTAAATGCATATATACCCACCAGCTAGCCAAGTAAAATGAACTGATGACATGAAAACAGGACTAGCAACATTAAGTACACGATTAAAGGTAAATCTGATATTACATATTGTGCAATCTTAATTAAGGTGAATTTCTGTCATAATGGAATTCGAACTTGTTAAATTTCACTGCATTGAAGAGCAAAGAGACAGAATATTTGCTATTTTAGCTCAAAAAATTACCAAATCCAAGTGGACACTTGTAAGATAAATCCAATAACATAATCAAGGACCTAGCTGTTTTTGGTTATTGATAACCTAGAGTTCAATTTGTGTCGCATAGTTACATAGTGGACAAAAAAAAAGAAGGAAAATTAAGTGTAGGGACAAGGGAGGAGATTATACCAAAGGATAGTTCACATTTGTCAATCAGTTAATACCTACACAATTGGGGCTTATCTGCAGAAACAAATCAATTTTAGATAGTCCCATCTAAGTTCACTATTAACCTTTAGGTACTTTTTGTGAGAACTATGGACACTATCAAATAGTGAGAAGTCTAAAACAAATTCTTTTATATACATTCAAACCACTATTGCTCATATTGCTCTTTATCAAGAAATCATAGAAGCTATACATGGGTTTTCTCGAGCCTATTTATATAGTACCTAACATAATTGTATGATACCAGTGGGAATTCGGACTCTCCTATTCAGTTAGGTCCATAATTCCAGAATTTATACACAAATTTTGATCGATAAACATAAGTTTTGCAATCATATGCTTCAGTGAAAAATCAGAGGAAAATTCAGCATATAACAGAGAGAACACAAGCATTCTGCTGCTTGCTTTGTCCTCCTGAGTATCTACTAGAAAATTCTTCATTTTCTTGTTCTTGTTTTCCATGAATCTGATTTAACCATGTTGTCACAAGCCCCAATCTCAGAAGTCCCAACTCCGAACAAGAAAATCATCATAATTATCATTATTTCGACATGAGATAGAGATACAAAACCAATTGAAAAGATAAATATGTTACTGGCATTCATCATTCAGACCTAAAATTAAAACAACTCACATACATTTAACCATATTTTGACACTGATAAGTTCAAGAAGACTCGGAAGCAACTAGTGAACCAAGAAAACTAAAAAAAAAAAAAAGCAACAACAGCCAATTCATGAATCATAACCTAGAACTCATAACAAAATCGCAAATTGAAAGCAGAAGATCCAAGATTTTAAAGAAATAAAATTCATACTCCAAATTACTAATATTTAATGATGCTTATACCAAGAAACTTGCGTTGATCGGCAAAATTATGATATTCTTGAGACTGAGGAATTGCTGGAGTAATAATCATGAGCACTATGAAGCAGACGATTGCAACTCCCCATGCCCACACACTTCTCTTCCTCATTTTCTTGGCGTTAATTGTGCCCTAATTGTGATGACTGATGATGATGCTCAACCTCTCTTCTTCACAGAAACTTTTTTCAACGGAAGGAAACTTCTTCGCTAAGTCGCTTTTTACATCCGCTTAATCCATGTGAGTTTTGAGATCTTCCTGTTAGAGCTGTTTATTTAAGAAAATCGGAATTTTATTTATTTATTTCCCGAAAATATTCTCCTCTATTTTGGTAAAAAAATAAAAAATATTTCTGATTCATATTACCTGTCGTATTTTAATTTTGCACCTTCCTTAGTATAATTGGCATACAAGGTGTGTGACAATGAGGAAACACCAATGAGTGTAAAGTAACTAGAAAATGTTTTTGGGGACTCTTTATTGAGTTATATGCATTTTATTATTAAAATAAAATATTAAGTGTATATATTAGTGGGTATAAATTGTAGTAAAAAATGATTATTAATTCTTGTAACTCTTAAGGTCATTAGTTTGTTGTAACTCATATGACCATTGGTTTCTTATAACTTTTATTACATTTATCTACCCATCATTCTACTTGTTGATTATATAGAAGACTTTTTCACCTATCAATTGAAATTTATTTGTGGTACATTACACCAACAAATCGTTATAAAAAGGTGATAAGGATCAATTGAAAGAAATAACAAAACACATGTGGCATTATTGAAATCCAATCGAGTTTCTGAGCAACAAATGACTTGTGATAATGTGGTGACAAAAGTAAGTGATTGCTTTGAAACAAAAATTGAGGGGGAAGTTGTAAGACGATTGTCTCTTACTTTCTTAGTAAGTACATTTTTTTTTATTGTGGTTGCTCTATATGCATGTTCGATGAGAGGACCATCTTGTGAAAAAAACACTTTAGTAAAAGATATTTCTTCCTCATTGGTGGTGAAAAGAAAAGTTAAAGTGTTTAAATAGAGAAATACTTATACTAGTTGTTAAAAGGGTTGGAAAGAGGGATCTCTCCGCACAGTCATCTCTAATTCGGATTTGCGCGACTCGTATTTAAAACATCTTTCCCGTTTTATTTGAATTTCCCACCATTGGAGATGATTGTTCTGAAAGGTTGTAACTTTCAGGAACAGTCATGACCGTTTGGAAGGTTGCAAACTTTCATGAATGCTCGTGTGGTTTTCTGATATGTTGCAACCTTTCCTCAGACTTTTCATTTACGAATTTTCTGAACTTCTTCTTCCTCTTCTACACAAATTCATTATTCATGTACTTTATTGTCGTTGAGTGGCTCGCTAACACCATTGTTTTGGGTATCAATACACTGGTGAATAAAATCGTTCTATCATGGGAGGATATATTCCAATTCAAACCTAGGATACTAGAGAAGAATAGTTCTTTAAGGGGACACTATGCATTCAGTGGGCTCAATTTCCTTTATGTTTCATATGATTGTTACAGATTCTAGTATGTTTTACAGGTATTAGTTTCTATTAATTAATTTTTGTTCTTCACTGCGTGATTTAAACTTTGGAATTTACTGCTTCTGCAAAGTTTTTGTTATCAGTAATATTGGTTTAAAAATACAGATTGCATAACAATTAACATATAACTAATTCATATTATTGAGTATAATGTTTTTTTTTTTGTGATTTTATGAAAGTAATTAAAATTATATTACATTAGGATGTTGAAATGAAATATGATCCGCAATTTCAATTTGAGTATGACAAATGGACCCTATTGGGGTAGAAGCTAAATCAATTTTGTGGAAATACAATTGATTGGGCAACCTAATATGATTACAACGTCAAATGAAATAATGAATTTTTGTGAAACAGTTAAACGTCAATTTAATTTAAAATTATGCATGCATGCAGTTGAAATGTTAAAGCGTATAATATATAAATTTATTTGAAAACATGTTATTCTATATCAGAGTCCAAATAATAAAATCCAACAAACAAGCCATTAAAGAAATATAAAATTAATTACAATTTGAGTTTTGTCTAATATGAAATATATCCTTCCTCCTTCCTTATAATAATAAAGTAACTATTGATAGTTTGATATGATTCTTTTTACATGTACATTTTTTTCAATATTTCATTAGTAAATATAAATTAAAGAGCGTATGATGAAATTATTAAATACTAGAGATTAAAATTAATGCCTTAATGTTTATTTGTACGTAATATGAAATTTTAAATTAAATAGTCATATAAATATTTCTAACAAATCTTTACTTGCCAACTAAATGTAAATATTTCTTTTAAGAAATCATTAAAAATCCAATTTTGAAAAAAAAAAGAACATTTAATTTGGTGCCAAATCAAGTTGACGCATGCCGACGAAGTTCCCGGCAATGTAGACAAGCAAAGCCCCGTCAGCACTCAGCCCCACAATAATAGAAAGTCACAATATTCCCTTGAGTTTTCTCTTCAATATAATAAACCAAAACCCTCAACTCCCGCCGCAGGGTTTCTCTCCTCCGCACTCCGCAGCCGCTTTCACCCTTACAGAAAAGCTCGTAAGGATCGAAGAGAGAGCCATGGCGCAGTCACTGGAGCTATTATTGATTCAATTTCTGATGCCTGACAATGATGCTAGAAGACAAGCTGAGGATCAAATAAAGCGTCTTGCAAAGGATCCTCAGGTGGTTCCATCACTGATTCATCATCTCCGTACTGCCAAAACGCCTAATGTTAGGCAGCTTGCGGCGGTACTTCTCCGTAAGAAGATCACTGGTCACTGGGCTAAGCTATCTCCTCAACACCGTCAGCTTGTGAAACAGTCCTTAATTGAGAGCATCACTATGGAACACAGGTCCTTTGATTCATTTCTCTCACTTTTTAGTTTCAACTGCACTAGTTTTTTTCCCGTATTCAGTGCAGTAATTGCACGATACATTTTGCTATTTATTGATGATCTTGTGAGTATATTTGCCGCAACTAATTTTCTAGGCGCTCTATGGAGGTTTGCATGCGCTTTTGTATCCGCATCTTTTTTCAAAAATATTACTTACTCTATAAAGTCTGCTGGACTAGAATGAACCGAGAGTTCGGACAATTCTCCTATTCTTTTTGAGTAATTCAGTTTTCTCTCGTCTCTGAGAATGACTTTCTGATCACACTATAGAGTAAGATTTTGCAGGACTAAGAGACTTTTTGTTGTGAAAGAGTATTTTGACTGATGAAGTCAATGTTGTTAACTGATTATTCTTATAATAATGGATAGAAGAGTCACTGATTTTCAAGCAAGCCAATTATAACAGAGTTGTACTTTCTGTGGTAGTTTATTCAATGATACACATGTGTGCTGTCTGTGTGAGAAAAAAATTTAGATCACACAACCTTTACATTTATTTTTTTCCGGAGATGCATTGAATTGCCTTACTTAGAAGCTGTTACTAGGCCTCCAATGGAAGTTTGAAAAGATGATATTTTGCCTGCAAATTATACTGATCTAATGTGATCATTTTTCAGCCCTCCGGTGAGGCGAGCTAGTGCAAATGTGATTAGTATTGTTGCAAAATATGCGGTTCCAGCTGGAGAGTGGTCAGATTTGTTGCCATATTTGTTTCAGTGCAGTCAAAGTGCACAAGAAGATCACAGAGAGGTATCCTATGCTTGATTGTCATCACATGTTTTAGTTAGATGAACACTTGATATGGTCCCTTTCTTTTCAATTACTACGATGTAGCTTCTGGGTTGGCATAAAGGATTGGTTTCTTACATGCTACGCAAAAATGTTGATTGCTGTATGCCAATAAAATTCCTTGCAATTGCTAGATTTTATCATTCCAAGGCTATTATAGAAGTATAGTGATACCCTTATGTTACAATTTCATTTAACCATTTGTAAATGTCAAGTATATCCCTACCCTCTCGAAAATAGTACTAAATTTTCCCCTCAGACAGAGTATGCCACTTCATACTGAAAATTCAAAGTATTTGGTAGTTTCAGCATACTGGTAGCTTTTTTCTGAATTCAAGTAACACTGAGGTAGAATGCCTGTTAAACCTTTGTCAGTTCCTTTTATCTTCCCTAATGAGGAACATTCGATAGAACTAATGAAAAAAAGGGATTGACGACATGTGGCTGTGGAGTGCCCAATTGGGAAGTGAGTATAAGCCATCAAAATGAAACATGTCACTGTCATTTTTTTTAATGAAAAGGTAGAGAACTGTTGTCAGTTTTGTCACTACATCTATAAACAGGCTGAAAGAATCGATTCAGCATAAGTTTGTGTGTTTTGAATTCAATCTGCCATGATCAAGGTTTCTTAATTAATACTAATTGTCTGCGTCAGCCATTTTAACTGTTCTTGTAACCTCTTTTGCGTGAGCATCCGTTAATCATTAATCCATGTAAAGAAAATGTTGTTGTCATCAATCTTCCCCTTCCTTTGGATTGGTCATTGGGATGATAATGATTTTGCCCTCTGTCCCACCTTCTGCAATTACCTGTAGGATTATGTATTTTAGTGGACTGATGGGTTGTTCCATTGTTTTGATGATGCAAGGTGGCTTTAATTCTTTTCAGTTCCTTGACTGAAACTATTGGGAATTCTTTTCAACCATATTTTGCTGATTTGCAATCATTGCTGCTCAAGTGCCTTCAAGACGAAACAAGTAATCGTGTCAGAGTTGCCGCTCTCAAGTAATGTTTGTTTGGAATCTTTAGAATTGTTGAATTTCTTGATCCAGAAACTACATATTACAATTCCTAACCGCAAGTGGAATTAAATCATGTTAACAGGGCAGTTGGATCTTTTCTAGAGTTCACTCATGATGAGGCAGAAGTGGTGAGTATGGTTTGTTCATTATGCTATCTTATGGCTCATGCAGCTTCTCCATGTTTCAAATTATTGTAACTTTTTTTTTAAAAAAATGCATAAATATTGTTTAGAGCAAATGTGGTGTAGAGACGGGACATTGGTTGAAACTGTTAGGATCACATGAAATCTTTTTGAGCCTTGAGAATAATTAACAATGTTTGTAAGTTTTTAAATATCTTAACTGCCATTTTATCCTGAGAATATGTCTGCTCCTGTTTCCTACCTGCAGATCAAGTTTCGAGAGTTTATCCCTAGCATTTTGAATGTGTCAAGGCAGTGTCTTGCTTCAGGCGATGAAGATGTTGCTGTGCTTGCTTTTGAAATATTTGATGAGCTAATAGAATCTCCGGCACCTCTACTTGGGGATTCAGTTAAAGCAATAGTTCAGTTTTCTCTTGAAGTTTGCTCAAGTCCAACTTTGGAGTCGAACACACGGCATCAGGTGGGAACATGATATGGTTACAGCTTAGTGAAACTGTTGGTACTCGGATGATGGGATGTTTGCACAATGTTTTTGCCTGTTCGACGTCTGTTACTGGTTCTCAAGTGTTTTACTTTGAATTGTTGGTTCATTTTTCAGGCTATTCAAATAATCTCGTGGCTAGCAAAGTACAAGGCAAATTCTCTTAAAAAGTACAAGCTAGTAACACCAATTTTGCAAGTTATGTGTCCATTGCTTGCTGAGTCTACAGACAGGAATGAAGATGATGATCTTGCTCCAGACCGAGCTGCTGCAGAAGTAATTGATACCATGGCTCTAAATTTGTCTAAACATGTGTTCCCACCTGTTCTTGAGTTTGCTTCTTTAAGCAGTCAAAGTCCAAATGGGAAGTTTCGGGAAGCTTCGGTTACTTCTTTAGGTGTCATATCTGAGGGTTGTTTGGAACTTATGAAGAACAAACTGGAACCTATCCTACACATTGTCTTGGGGTCTCTGAGAGATCCTGAACAAATGGTGAGAGGAGCTGCTTCATTTGCCTTGGGCCAATTTGCTGAGTATCTGCAGCCTGAGATAGTTTCTCACTATGAAAGTGTCCTCCCATGCATTTTAAATGCTGTAGAGGATGTATCTGATGAAGTTAAGGTACAAACATGCTAAGAAATGGTTAAGTCCTTCCACTGGTGCCTATTTATTCAAAAATGGTTTTTGTTCTTGTGCAGGAGAAGTCTTACTATGCATTGGCCGCATTTTGTGAGAACATGGGTGAAGAAATTCTTCCTTTCCTGGATCCTTTGATGGGAAAATTACTTGGTGCTCTCCAAAGTAGCCCTCGTAATTTGCAGGAAACTTGCATGGTAAGTTTCTTTTCAGATGCTTAAAAATAGTTTTAGTCTGAAGTTGCGTCACCTTGTGACAATGTATTTTCTCCTTTTATTGCAGTCTGCTATTGGTTCAGTTGCATCTGCTGCTGAACAAGCATTTGTGCCCTATGCTGAAAGAGTTCTAGAGTTGATGAAAGTTTTCATGGTGCTTACAAATGATGAAGACCTCCTTTCACGAGCTAGGGCTACTGAATTGGTTGGGATAGTTGCAATGTCTGTTGGCAGGACAAGGATGGAACCAGTTTTGCCGCCTTTCATTGAAGCTGCAATTTCAGTGAGAAACTTTATAAGCTCTCACATTTAGGATTGCTTTCAAATTTACAAACAATTCTTGATAGGTTTCGATGCTATCAGGGTTTTGGTTTGGAGTTTAGCGAGCTTCGGGAATACACTCATGGTTTCTTTAGCAATATAGCGGAAATTTTAGATGAAGGATTTGCTCAGGTATCACTGATGATTGGATTTTTATACATTACATGCTGTTTTTACTTCTATAACCTCCTTCTTTTTTTTTGGAAACAGTACCTTCCACATGTTGTTCCTCTGGCATTCAACTCCTGCAACCTAGATGATGGTTCTGCTGTTGATATTGATGATTCCGAAGAAGATGAAAATGTTCATGGATTTGGCGGTGTGTCATCAGATGATGAAGCACATGATGAACCTAGGGTTCGTAATATCAGTATAAGAACTGGTGTATTAGATGAAAAGGCAGCTGCAACTCAAGCCCTTGGCTTATTTGCTTTACATACAAAGGGTTCTTATGCACCGTATCCTTTTCTCAATACATACATAAAGCTTATCTTGTATGACATTGATGCTAATGGTTTTCTGGATTCCTTAATGTATTTCAAGTTACTTGGAAGAGTCATTTAAGATTTTAGTGAGGCATTCTAGCTATTTCCATGAGGACGTTCGAATGCAAGCCATTATTTCTCTCAAATGTGAGTAGCAAGGGGCTGCTTTCTCTGTTGATTTTTTATCTTAATGTTGGCATTTTGCTGTATGAATGCTTGACCTGGGGTATATATGTTTGTATGTTGTATAACATGTCAGTCTGTCTATAGCTATTTCATTTGTTATTACAAACTTGATTTTGAATATCTCTATGTGATTAGTATATAGGGTTTATGATATAAATATCTGATACTTGTTTTTACTTTTAAATACTGTGGTAATTTATAAGATGATGCTATTTTATTTTCAAATTTACTGTTGCAAGCTAAAGCTAGTCCATAAGTGCTCTTTTCTGGATCTCTTTGATTGCAGATATTTTGATAGCTACACAAGCAGCATTGCAAGGTCATAATGTGAGTAATGATCTATCTCCGTCCATCATTGTTGTATTTAGTTTATCATTTATAATTTTGCATGCAGTTGATACTTTTTGTTGATCGGCCTTTTCCAATGGATGTTTGACAGCTGTAAAGTTCTAGTGATGCATCTGCTGTGATAATTTATGAATTTTCATATTTGTTGTGTCAATCTGCCGAAGATTTGTGTGAATCATATGTTATTCTTAAGTAGTGCTAGAGGTTATGTGCTATAAGCCTGATACGCAACACATTTTTTCTCTGTTTTTTTCCGACGGGCTCTTTTTGAGTTAGTTTAAGTTTGCTTAGCTTTCTCCTTGCTATTTCTGCGTTAAAACTGAGGGGGTTATCTAGATTACAAAAATTTTAGTAGAGAAAACCCACAAGGCTCAACAAAGATCCTAGGAATCTATATGTGGTTAGTTTGTATTGTTAGAGTGTTCCATTTCCTTGACAGCACCGTCTTGCAAGACCTTTACTTCAAGAACTGATCCCCACCCTCAAAATAAATGTAGAAGTTGAGGTATTAAATGACTACTTTTTGTGCTATTAAATATGCAGTGATACTGTTAAAGCTTGTAGTAATGCATCACAAGTCTGGGATAGAAACGAGCATCTAAAACTCATTTAGTTTAAGTTGAGCCATTGAAGTAATTGTGCTGCCTTAGGCTGAAGTTCACACATTTTCCGATTTAATTAGCATGTTCATATAAGCTTTCAATGAAATGAGTGTGATGTATGATAATATCTCTGATGTTAATGACTGCTTCATTTTTTTTTCCCTCTTTGGCAGGAGGGAATGACAAAGACAAAAGAAGTTCTTGGTATGATTTATCTTCTTTGTGTCAGTCATATAATCTGTTACAAATATATCATTTCAGTGTTTTTTTGCTTTGCAGATACTGTGATGAAAATTTATATAAAGACAATGATTGAAGATGATGACAAAGAAGTTGTTGCGCAAGCTTGTATGGCTGTTGCTGACATCGTGAAGGATTTTGGTTACATGGCTGTTGAGCCCTGTAAGTGTGCACACTTTAATTCCTTCAGGTCCTCCAGTCATTAAAATTAAATTTAGGATTAACTTGTTTTTCCCATCTTTATAGATATCACTGAGCTTGTTGAGGCAACTGTGGTTCTGTTACGAGAGCAGTCTGCGTGTCAGCTCGTAGAATCAGATAGTGAAGTTGATGATGACGACACTGAACATGACGAAGTGCTAATGGATGCTGTTTCTGATCTCCTCCCTGCATTCGCGAAGGCCATGGGCTCTCATTTTGCTCCAATCTTTTCAAAGCTGTTCGAACCTTTGATGAAATTTGCTGTAAGTTTGGGACCCCCCTCCCCATCCGTACAATTTTTTGGTCAAGTTCTTTTCTATTCTTTGCCTTAGAGATTAGCTTTAGTCGCAGTGTTTCATGCCATAACCTCTGCAATTGCAGAAAGCATCGCGCCCATCTCAAGATCGGACCATGGTCGTTGCAACCCTTGCAGAAGTGGCTCAACACATGGGTGCTCCTATTGGTGGCTATATTGATGTAAAATTTTGAAAACTGGTTAATTGGTTCTTTTCTTCTCCTCTCCAACACACACACACACACACTTTTTGATAGTTCTGCAACTGAATTGGGGAATATTAATCCTGCTTCAGACTGTGATGTCCCTGGTACTTAAAGAATTAGCTTCAGCGGATGCTACAAACCGAAGGAATGCAGCATTTTGTGTTGGCGAGTTGTGCAAAAATGGTGGTGATGCTGCTTTGAAGTATGCTTTCGGTTGCATACCTTGTTTACCATCTACTTCTGTTCCTAATATATGTTCTGAGTTTGTGGGGTTGTAGCCACTGATTATTTACCAGTTACCTTCTTTGTTGGCACATCTAAATCTGATTTATTCACTTTATTCTAGATATTATGGAGATGCCTTACGTGGCCTTTACCCATTATTTGGCGAAGCTGAGCCAGATAATGCAGTGAGAGACAATGCTGCTGGTGCGGTGGCAAGGATGATAATGGTTCATCCAGAGACAATCCCACTGAATCAGGTGGAGAATTTGACATTTCTATTGTTTTTGGCTTTGAAGGTTTCCCTCTATTTGCCATGGTCGTTATATGTTGTTATACTTTCTTTAGGTGCTACCTGTTTTCTTGAAAGTTCTTCCTCTAAAAGAAGATCATGAAGAATCCATGGCAGTCTACAGTTGCATATGCAATCTTGTTTTGTCATCTAACTCTCAGGTATTTTCATGTCTCATCTTATCTGTCACAAAGTCTATCGGAAACAGTCTCTCTACCTTCACAAGGTAGGGGTAAGGCTGCATACACAACACCCTCCCCAGACCCCACTTGTGGGATTACATTGGTATGCTGTTGTATCTTATCTGTCACGTTAGTTATCATTCTTGTTTCCTTTATGTCTTCATCTTCTGTGGAATGTAATATTTAACGCATCTTTACTTGTTTGTTTTGTGAATATACAGATCTTAACTTTGGTTCCGGAGTTGGTAAATGTTTTTGCCCAGGTTGCCATGTCACCTGTTGAAACCCCTGAAGTCAAGGCTCATGTTGGAAGAGCATTTTCTCACCTAATTTCGATTTATGGTCATCAAATGCAGCCTCTTCTGAGTAATCTTTCACCTGCACATGCTAATGCTCTCGCAACTATTGCACCTCAGAGCTGACATGTAAAGCGCCTTTGAGAAGAGCAAGTTTTATATATTGTGTTCTTGTAATATTTAATATTATCTTATTCATCGGACATGCATCCATGGTGGAAGAGCAGCTAATTAGGCTGATCGCGTCCAGGTATAGTCTTATCTAGACCATTGCTATCATTCTTCCTTCCAACTAAAGATGCAACATACATGTCATCGATTGGCAAGTCATATGTCATTATTTTAATCAATTATCTTTGTGCAAAGACAAGCCTGAGATATCTATAGTTCCATTCTTTTTTTCTCTAATAATGTTTCAGACTTTGAACAAATCATAAAAAGGATGTTTAGTTCTGCTTTCTTTGTCTATTAAAGGTAATTTACTCAAAATTTTGTTATTTTGCAGGCTTGCGTCGTTTTATTTTTTGGTCAGGTGTCAAAGTTTTCCATGGAGATGCAATATCTTCCATTTTGACATATTCTACAGAAGAGTTGTCTTTTCTTTCTACTTTCAGGGTGATGTGATGGAGGAGAAGGAGTGGGGTTTGTTAGCCATTTTTGGATTGTTTTATTTATTTGTTACCAAGTGTCAAAGAAAGAAACTAGGAAAAGAAAAGGCTGGTGGAAGTTATGTTGTGTGAGGTTTATTATACATAGTTGAAAAACTTCAGTGTGTATATCCACAATTCTTTGATGTTTAAGGTGGGGTTGCTGTATAATTTATGACTTGCTATTGTTTGGTACAAAATTTTGTTATAGTGAATGTGTTCAAGTTATAGGTCAAGTTTTTAAATCTTTTGGACCGAATGTGCTAATTAGGCCCAAGTTTGTTGATGGGTTTGGTCTACTGACAAGCAAAGGCGAATCTAGAGGGTATTGAGGGTTTATCCGAACTCATTCACTAAAAAATTATATAGAGTAATATGTAAGGTACTTCTTAAACTTTATATATATTCTCAAATTTTATATTTTTATCTTTTGGGATCTCTTAGTGAAGTCTGAATCAGCCTCTGAGAAGAAATCAGTTGAAAGCAACCCATATGGATCCACTTAAAAAAGTACTTCCTCTGGCTCTAATTATTTGTTTACTTTTGAATTGACACACCAATTAAGAAAACAATAATTGACATAGTGAGTTTATTATTTTACCACTATTAATTATGAAATGGATGAATTAAAAACTTAAGATTTTCAAGAAATTTTATCTTTTTCAAAGTAATTAATTGAGGGTATAATAGGTAAAAAAAATTGTCTTTTCTTGATTTGTCAAAATGGACAAGTAATTAGGGACAACTATAAAAGAAAAAATGGACAAGTAATTAGGGATAGATGGAGTAGCTTTTAAGTAAAAAATAAAGTCAAAGTGAAATGATTTTTAAGTTAAAAAATAAAAAGTAGGGGGGATTTACTTTTGATTTTTAACTTATTTTAAGTCATTTTTGTTTTTGGCAAACACTTTCTAACTTATTTTAAGTTATTTTTAATATTTGTCAAACACTTCTAGAAGTAAAAAAACTAACTTAAAAGCAAGTTTGACCAACTTTTAAGTCAATTTAAACACCCTCTTTTTTACAATAGTCAAAAAATCAAGAGAAGGGAACCTAGCAAAATATTTTAAAAACATAAAAGAAAAGAGAATGGCTTATGAAAAGAAAAACTCGAAAGTTAATGTTGTCCATTTACTGAATTATTTTTCAAAATTAATTTACTAGTTTTCTACGTATTTGCATCTTGTAGCGGAAATCTATAGTTTTGGCCTTCGAGTTATTGTTCATAATTATATAATATAATCAGATTTTACATATGAGATTTTATCGAGTTTATTATTACAAATTATATAACAAATAATTTTTTACTGGTATTGAAATTATGATGTGTTTCTTTTTTAAAGTAAACCTCTCTATATGCTATAACATAAATTATAGTCATCTCATATAAAATTAAGTTGTTAGCTAAAATACACTTCATTTAATTAACTATTTTTTAACACTACTTACAGTTAAACCTCTGTATGCTGTAACATAAATTGGAGTTATCTCATATAAAAATTAAGTTGTTAGCTAAAATATACTTTATTTGATTATTTTTTTAAACACTACTTACACATATCTAGAGAATCACAAATAGAAAAGGTTGAATTTTATGGTTTTATCCTCGCTTAGAAAATATTAAAATTGAAAAAAGAAGAAGTATATATATAATTTTCTTAATAGATATATTTTAGAACTCTGGATTATTCTACTTAAAATTTTATATTAATATATAAAGTTTTTTACAACAACATCTAAGATATTGTATCACAAATACATTACTAACATCTTATTAATTCAAATTAATCTTTACAATAATAATATCACTTAAATGCTTTATGTTTTTTTAAGAATATTATATTAAATATAATAGATATGAAAAAATTAGAGATGAGTCATATTAAGGGGATAATAATGAATTGTATATATAATTGAGTCGAATTTTTCTAGTTGAATTCTCAAATTTTATATTTATGTGTGAAAGCTAATAAATATATAACATGTCTTGTATATTAAACCCCGTACAAAAATGATTTCCTAGTTCAATCCACGGAGAAAGTAGGTCTACAGAAAATATGCAAGTTTTATTCTACAAAAGATTCTATACTCATTGATTAATAGATTTTAATTACACCAACCTTCTTCTTTTTTCCAGTAAAACACACTATTTTTTTTCTTTTTCTACCTTTAGTTTTAAAAAGCAAAAAATATTGTCAAGGAAATAAAAGTAAAACACAAAAATCGGAGCCTTTATTTTTCTTGTGTCATACTGTCATTCATTTTTATTTTTTTTTAATTTTTGAATTAATACAACTTGTTTCTTAGAGTCTGTTGGGAAAGTCTAAGTAATTAGATTTGATGTGATTATTATGGTAGTAATTATCAACCTAATAATTACACAATCGGTTAACTAAGATGACATGTTTGCCATAGTGTATTTACAAGTGTACTGTTTGGTTGCACAAGTGTTATCATAAGGTTATATTGAAAATTAAGAAAATAAAAATTAATTGTTTGATATTAAAATTTTATATTAGACAAATAAGGACCTTTATAAATAACATTAAATTTAATATTTAAGATATATGTTGCCTTTTAAAATGTATATTAGTAATTGATAAACATATGTTCTTAATTAATATTATACAAAATAATTGATTTATATTTTTTAAATTAGTATATTTTAATTAAATTAATCATAAAAATTAAAAGTTCAAAATTTCTATGAACATCATGAAAGGAATTGCATTTTTGACAAAAAAATTAATAGTATAAATATAATGTCATAAAATTATATAAATATTTGATAAAAAATAATTTAGATTTGCTGATACATTAGGTCTTGTCAAACAAGTTCAAATTAAAAGTTTGAAGTTACCGATAACCTACTAAAATTAAGTTGAAAGCAATTTTTTATCATACAATAATCAAAATACAAGAGAAGGTAAGCTAGTAAAATATTTAAAATTAACCAAGAAAAAGGAGAATGGCTTAGGAAAGGAAAGCTCGAAATAATGTTGTTCATTTTCTTAATTGTTTAACGAAATTAATTTACTAGTTTTCTTTGTCTTTGTAGTGGAAATTCTATCGTTTCGACCTCTGCATTATTGTTCATAATTATGTTATATAACGAAACTTTATTTGTGAAATTTTATCAAGTATGTAAATGTGGTATAAAAAATAAAAATTATATTATTATTGAAATTTTAATGTGTTTCTTTTTAAAGTAACATTTTGTCATATTTCATTTTGCATGATGCTTAAAAAATCATAAATAAGAAGATGATTTTTTTAATTTACCCCTTAAAAAAACTTTTTGGGTATACAAACAAATGTGAACATTTTAAAAAAGAATTATTTATAGGAGTAATATAGAAAATAATGATTAATATTTTCTTGATTTAATAAAGTGTTCAACTAATATAAAACAACTATATTTAGTATAATGATCAACTATATAATACTACAAAAGAGTATTATTAATTAGACGAGTATTTTCTATTTTATGAGATAGTATAAGTATTTATCTAATATGGGAGGGACCTATAAAAAGAAAGTGGGTGGTGTGAAATTCCAAGAGAGATGGCGTCTCTCTACTCTGCAAACTTGTTATTTCCTTCTCTTCTTTTTTCTTCATCTTCTTCTTCATCCGTTGTTACTCCACTAGCTTACCGGCCCTACGATGCGTCGCCGGCGAAGATTAATCGACGCCTTTCTTCTTCTTTTTCTTCTGCTGCGCTGCCATTCGATCTTTCTCCTCCTCCCATCGACCACGACCTCCTCGTAAGTACCAAATTCTTAAACTTGTTTCTTAGTATTCTGAGTTGCTAATTCTTGATTCTTGAAAGTTAACGTCATTCTGGGCTTTGATAAATACCAAATTCTCATGTAATCCAACTTGTAATTCTTGATTGTGGGCTTTGATAAATTCCAAATTCTTATAATTCTTAATCTTGAAAGTCAGTTGGCTATAGCATGTGTGAAGAAGACTGATTTCTTATAATTTTCCTGTTCAATGTACTATCTTGGGTAAAATTAATTGAACTATTTGGATTATCAATCCTAAAGCTTGAATTTTTTTTTCCTTTCTGAAAGAAAAATCAAAACAAATACTCCATGTAATGGGGTGGGGTAGACAAGCTTGTTGGTTATGGATGCCCCTCCACTCCATCCACCCTGCTTGGAATGTCTCACTTCAGTAGGCAGTTAGACTTTAAAAGACTTTTTTTCTGAACAATGAGGATATACGAAGGACATGTTGTTACGTCTGCTAAATGTTTCCTGATGAACAAGTGAAGGATGAGAGTCACTGACCTGATGTTTCTACATGCTTTCATTCTTGGTCTCCTTAGAGTTGGCTTGTTTAACTTTTTCTTCCTGCAGGATACTATGACAATTGCTGGGGCAAAGGTATCAGAAGATGGGGTAATAGGAACATTCGATAATGACGAGGAGGCATTAGATGCTGTTGAGAATGGTGTCGCGGTGTGTATCTAGCTTGATTCAGGTTTTCTTGGTAATTTTAGTTATTTTTTCCTGTTAAAAATTTCCCTGTCATATAAATTTCATCTGTTGATTAAAAGATGTGTTAATGGTCCAACTTTCCTATCACATGTTGTATAATTTACTGCGATATCTGGAATTGAGCCTGGCCTTGTAAGGGAACTTGTATACTGTTCAGCTTAGTCTTGCAAAGTGTGATCTGATGGTATCATTCAATTTGTTCTAGGTTGTGGATCTTTCACACCATGGCAGGATAAGAGGTAAATCCATCCACACATTTTCATTCTGAAAATGATTCTGTTTTTATTTTATAAGACACTCTAAGTTTAATCTGTGAATAATCTATTGACGTGGAGGAATAGAGGTTAGGTTAGTTTTTAATGTATCTTAAAGTAAGTCCATTATCCATATTATTCTTCTAATAAAATAGTAATTTCTTCCTACTTAAACAACTCTGTGGAATGTGGTTGTATGCTTATTTCCTAGTGCGAGTCATGTGGATAATGGATGTGAAAATTACTTTTTACCACTTGCTCTAGTGCTAGTGACGTATTATGGACTAGCTGGATATAAGTTTTTCTACTTCTTTGAATTGTTTTGGCGGCAACTTATTCATAGTTGTTATTTCAGCAATCTCTGTCTGTCTTTTCATTTCACACAGTTAGTGGAGAAGACAGGGTTCAGTTTCTTCACAACCAAAGTACTGCTAACTTTGAAACTCTTCATGAGGGGCAGGTATTGACTTGGTTTCCACAACTCT